ATGTGTGCTGGCTGCCCTTGTGAGGCGGAGTCAGAAGATGGCTCTGACGACCTCCTGACAGGGTCCCTTGGGCTAGAACACAGTGAAGATTCTGGGTATTTTCGTTCACACTCAATTTCATTGCTTCTGTCCAATATGGATGCATCAGTGGTAAGGGCAGAGACCAATGTACTTGCAGAAATTTGAAGAGGGAGAAGGGCTCTCTCTGGTCATGTTAGGAAATATATAGGAAATAAAAGTTAAGCCAATGGTTGTTAGAAGTGGAAACTACTCTCTGAAGGAGAGTAAAGTTCATATTTATGTGTTAGAAGGGGGGAAAAGTCCCCTGACTCAAAATAATGAAACACAGACTTACAAAGGACCTGTGTGTAGTTATTTTTAAGATTGGAAATACTGAAAATAATCCACACATCCCTTTCTCCTTACATAGCTTGGAACACAGATTGGGTTTTATTGGATCATCAACAAAAGACAGAAATATACACATCTTATTCTCAAAAACTCACTAAAGTTGATGCCAGCATCCATGGAGTTGAATTTTTATTCAAATTCTATTCTCTTTTACATACCTGGAGTGCACTATAGTTTTGACAAAGGGTAGAATGTGTGAGTAGCCAGCACACATAGTCACTATTAACTGGAAACCTTGGGGACATTGTCGAGAGGAAAACAGAAGCCATTCTTGGTGGCTCACACCTGTAATCCCCATTACATAGAAGCCTGAGGCAAGAGCATCGCAAGTTGGACATCAGTCTGGGCAACTCAGCAAGTCTTTTGTCAAAATACTAATACTAATACTAGGAAAAGAGCTGAGGGCTTAACTTAGTGGCAGAGCACTCCTAGGCTGGGCTCCTGGTATGGCAAATAAATAAATAAATAAATAGGAAATGGAACATGAGCCAGAGCACGGGGAATAGGGCAAGCAGAAAGGAGGAGAGGAGCCACTTACGGCAGCAGTAAAATCTGAGGTGAGGCAAGGACAGGTGAGTGGGCGCACCTGGGTGGAAAAGCCTCCCTAAGCTGCAGGACTTCCAGGAACCTCGGCAACAACCTACCTGTTACACACCTTGGTTTCACAGCTGGGCCGTGTGAGAGCCAGCTAGTGGACTGATTGCAATGGCCACACAGTGGTACCCACCTGGTCGTGTTGAAATATATCCTCAGTCCATTTTACAGTGTTTCATGAATGCTCTGTGACTGTGTGGTCCCCAGAAAGAAACTGAAGTTCCAAAGTGGGAAGTTGAAGACACATATAAGAAAGTCTGAAAGGGTTTTTGATTTAAGGAGAACACACAAAGGGAATGAAGGGAATTGAAATTGGAAAGAGCCATTGGAATTTGGTTCTGAGAGGCCATGGTCCAAGGGGTGGGACCTTGTTTCCCATGTAGATTACAGAGAACTATTCCATATGTTGGAGAAAAGCTCAAATAGCAAAGCTGGAATTACTTTGTCCTCAGGAACATAGCTGAAAATAATTTAACAAGAATCAGGGAAAAATATTTCTGGAGATAAAAAAAAATCTCAGAATGCAAAGAAAAGATTGCCTAGACTTTTCCTGTACACTCTCTGAAAGGGAAAATATTCTTTTATTTTTATAATATTTTCACTTTTGGAAAAGCATATATACTTTATTTCTTTTTCTGATGTAAAAGTATGCATGGACACATATTTAGGCTACCTGAAGAACCAAAGATACTACCATAATCTCACCTAATACCCAACAGTTAACATTTTGGCATGTTTTCTATGCATTTATTGTGTTTTCCAAATGCATTTTATTTTTAAGAAAATAAAAAATAATTTTAAAAAACATTAAAAGCAATACAGAACTTCACTAAGCAAGATGATAGGAATTCAACAATGGCATATTGCTGTCTTCAAATTAGTGGTTCACATTACCAGAGATAAGCATGAAAAATTTGTCAAAAAAATAAATAGAAGAAAAAAAAATTAATCATTAACTGTTCCTTTCAGTAGACCAGAACAAATCAGCAGTACAATTGTCCCAATGTGTGTGTATATATATATATATATATATATATTCCTTTTCCTTCTTTTTTTTCTTATTGACTTCATAGGTTTATATAACTTCATGGCTCCTATTTCATATAATACCATAAGTACATGTTGGGGTTGCATAGTCATTCATTTTATTTTATTTAGTTAGTCTTTTGATGGAACCGGGGATTGAACTCAGGCCCTTGTGCTCGCCAGGCAGGCGCTTATTCTACTGAGTGCTTTTTCTTACTACACAGCTCAGACTAAGCCATCTCCCTGGCCCCTATTCATTCATTTTAAATATTTTAACCTATGTACTTAACCGTATCCTAAAGTGAGGTATTTACATTTAATAAATAATGCTATGATAAATACATTTGTGTATAAGTTTTGTTCCTCTCCTAGTCTTTCTTTCTTTCTTTCTTTATTTCTTTCTTTATTTATTTATTTATTTATTTATTTTACAGAACCAGGGATTGAACTCAGGCCCCTGAGCTAGCCAGGCAAGACACTAATTCTACTGAGCCATCTCCCGGCCCCTCCTAGTGTTTCTTTAGAGGAGCTTCACAAACTTCCAAGATCAAATAGTATGAATTTTTTAAAAATCACCCACACATCTTATCTGATGTATTACTATTTATTAAGTGGAAAATTTATACAATTCTGGGGTTGTAGTTTCTCCTATTTTAATAGTTTTGCATTAGTTAATACGTATTCCGTATTTGGAGAATATAACATTAGTTTTTTAGAGGTGGAAAAATATCTAGATTAAGTGTGGCTACTCGTTTCTTGACCCATTTGCTCTTTGCCGCTTCCTCTTATCTCCGGATCAGCACTGCGTTTCCTTCCTTTCTCAGGAAATCCACTCCCTGTGCTCCCTAGCCCCTCAAAGTCTCAGACGTTATCAGTGCGGTGATTTATTAGGGGGATTCCACTTCGCATTTCGTAGCACGGTCCGCATGCTGAAACTTCTCAGTCTTGCCCAGGGAGCTGGAAAATGTGGCTTTACGGCGGGAAGATTAATGGTGCTTCCCTCATCTCCGCGTCCTGTGTGTTTCTCATTATCTTCCTTTGGATGCGATCACCGCCTTTTGTTCTAAAGCCTCAAGTCTTCACTCCTCCCAGCGCAGGGACTTCTCCTGGGATAATACTAAGGACAAAGCCAAGTCCCCAGCCACTTGTGTAGCCAAAGTCCTCTGGTCTCTGTTCCACCAGGCACAGCTGTGCCACAGGCTCCCTCTCCACCCACCCGCTCCTTTGCTGAGTCTCCTAACAAGTATCGCCTCTGCCGGCATCTTTCCCTTCCGCTCATGCTTACACACTGCATCAAGAGCAAGGTTTCCTGGGGCAAAATCCGAATCAGCCTACAGATCTTCTCAACTCTGCTCTAACACCTAAACTCTTTGTTACTCATACAGGAACAAGGTCTAATTTTTTTTAGTGAACCAATAAACGTTCATTATGTACTTTTCAATGAGTAACTCACAGCAGGAAGCACTATGAGCTCGGTGGAACGGGATCTATGTCTACTTTGGTAGCCGAAAGAGACATGAGGAAAGTTAAATAACAAGGCTCCACATCCCGTCCCTTTTTAGACGTCAGCGCTGCCAGAGCTCACACTCATCATGTTTTGAAGCTGACTCATTTTCTTTCTCCCGAATTTATGTTTTCCACTACCTGGATTCTCCAAACAAGACACATACAGGCTGGGGATGTAGAGATATAGGGAGCCAAAGATTCTAGCTTAGCAGAGTCCATCAAAATCCAATTATTATATTATTTGCTTTCTTAGCTATACTTAGGGAAATAAAGACCTATAGCAATTAGTAAGATAAGATCTCATTGTTGGGGTTTTTTTAATCTTTTATTTAGTACAGGGTCTCACTACACAGCTCAGACTCAGTGATCTTCCTGTTGCCACCTCCCCGTTGCTGAGATTGCAAGAGTGCACCTCCATGCCAAGTTTCAGTGGCTGGCTTGGCACCCAGGGCCAGCACGGCATGTGGTACCAGGGATCAAGCCTGGATCCTTGCGTTTGCCTAGGCAGGCAGTTAGACCACTGAGCTATCTCCTCAGCCCCAGTACGTCCTCATTGTTGTGAGTATATAATCTAGTGTGAGAGACATAGAGCTTTCCAGAGCAGGCCTCTGTCCAATGTCAACTCAGTCACCCAAACCAGGCGTCACAAGTCCAGGTCTCCAGATCCTCCCTGCTCAGTCATTCAGTGTAGGTCATCTCTATGTGCTTACTTGGTATTCTTATTCTTGTCTTCTATAAAATTCCAGTCAATGCAGATATTAGAGCAACCATAATGATACCTGTAGAGTGCCTCATATTTACAGAACGTTCTTCCAAACATTATCTGATTTAATCCTCACAACAGATCCACAAGGTATGTCTTTGTCACCACCCATTTTACATGGGAAAAAGCCATACTATAAGGAAGTGAAGTCACACAACCAGGTCCTCTAGTGCCCCAGGGGCATGTTTAATTTCTAAACTATATAACAATTAGGGGTGAAACTATGTGAATGATGCTATCTTCAATCAATGGCTTTACAGTCTAGGAAGAGAGGTAGCCACATAAATTAGTGATTTCTACATAATGTGGTCTAAAAACAGAGTAAGTATACAATGGTTGCTGCAACAGAGGAAAAGAAATATCCAGACTGATGTGCAGATCTGGGGAAGATGGGTGTGGAGACACATATCATGTCAACTGAACTATATTTTGAATGAGGGTTTAGTTAGCCTTTAGATGGAAAACTACTATATGAACTCAAGTGTGGACTCATTCTCCAGTTCATGTTTTTCCCACTTTCCCCTTACATGTTAAGTTTTTCAATTGATAATTATATGAATGAATGAATCAATGAATGAATAAATAAGTAAATGAGTGAGTGAATGAATGAATGAACAAACAAATGAATAAACAAATGATACTTCTTCTAATGTAGAGATGAGCTAAAATGTCAACTTAAGCAGTAACTTAGCTCACATACCTTCAGGAATTCCATGAGGATTTCTCAGCAACATGACAGGCAGTTCTCAGTATAAGAGGCCCCAATTCTCTCCTACACTCTTAGAAGTGGTTGGAGGTGAGATAGACTCTAGAATTGAGGGGAAAAAAAGATTCTCTTATGTTTGCCCAACCTTCTCAAAATACTCTGTTAAGGTCCTAAGTCAAGTAACAAAGAAGGAAATGGATTTAAAACTAGAACTCCTAAACTTCAGCAAAGATTCCCACTTTGAACCTCTCTGGCTTGCTCTGGATGAAGAAGACAGGTCCCAATTCTCCTATACCCACTTCCTCTGAAGTGTGGCTGTAGAAGGAAAGCTAGGTTCTGCAAGGCTTGGGAATCACAGCAGAGTGCCCACATCCTCAAGGAATCTCATGCTGCCTACCTCCTCCTGCAGGACGGCCGGCTCCAGTCACTGCTCCTGTGGAGCAGAGGCCTCCATGCCAGCCCCTTCTCTGCATTTCCTGCTCCTTGGCACAAGCTTCAGCTTCATCTGTGTGTGCTTGGCATATACACGGGGCTATCCCTGGAGTTGTGTGCGCCATCATTTCATAATTCAAAAACCCCAAAGAAAAGACAGGTGATGAGACTCTCCAGGAAAATTGGAAGGAGGATGTCCACACCATGTGAATCTGATTGCACAGAGAACAGCTCAAGAAGCAGGCTCAGACCAAACACTACTTTTTCAGACATGAAACACAAATACAATGCATGCATTGTTTCTATTTTCTTTTGGTTGCAAACATATTTCTATTCAGAATTTCCTCTTAGTGCCTTCAAATTATTCAAGAAAGATACCCAATAAAATAAATTTGTAGAGGAAGGAATGAGCTTATGAAATTACAATCATTTCTGCAAGCAAGGGGGTATTAAATGGGCTTTGGAAAGTCACACACTCTGTATACTACTATCTGGATTCGTTTGGACTCAAGATTCTCTGTTGTCCCCTTGGGAATTTTGATTTATGGTTTAGTTTCTCTAAGAATACAGATGAATTAAAATGGGCTTACAAAATCTTGCCACTGGGTAAAAGATCACACCCACTTCCTTTCCTTTAAGCACATGTTAGGGTTTGTTTTATAAGCACGAGTCAGCAAATAACTTTCTATAAAGGTCCAGATGATAAATATTTCAGGCTTTGGGGGCCATACATCTCTAGCATAATTATTCAACTCATTCAATAAGAGCACACAAGAAGCAACACATAATATGTAAAGAAATCAGGGCCAACCAAATAGCTCAGCAGACTAAAGCACCTGCAAGCAGGTGCAGGGGCCGAGGGTTCAATCCCCGGGCCTGCCATGCCATCCCCACCCCCAGGGTGCACTGAGATGGCAACTGAGATTGGGCGTGGTGGCATGCACCTGCAATCCCAGCTCTTTGGAGGCTGTAAACAGGTGAATCACTATGGGTCCAATCTAGTAGTGAGACCCTGAAAACCTTGTAGACCCTTCTCTAAAATATAAAAAAGAAAGAAAGAAAGAAATTAACACAGCTATGCTCTAATAAAATTTTACTTACAAAGCTCATGGACCATAAATTGCTGAGTTCTGTAGTAAACCATTCTCTCTGTACAGAAGTGTCACTGTGAGGAGAGGATGCTATCTTTAGACTGAGAAAGGAGAAAGGGGGCAGAAGACTCTGAGGTCTAGTTATTCTATCATTATTTAATAGCTAAAAATAGTGTTAGGCTCTGCACTTAACATTTAGTTCACATGAGATTTGTGGCTGTTACATCAGGAGGCCAATAGACCTACCAGCATGGAGGTAGACTGAGTCAGGAAGAGCAAATTTCAAACCCAGTCTGGGCAACTTAGTGAGATCCTATCTTTAAAAAGAGAGAGAGAGAGAGAGAGAGAGAGAGAGAGAGAGAGAGAGAGAGAGAGATTCAGGCCTTAACTAATAGGGCATTACAATCTTTTACAAAGAAGAAAAACTCCAACATGAAAGAATTAGTCAACATAGGAAACTATCTAATTGCTTTCATAGGACAACTAGGCACCAGTGAGAAGTTCTGAAAAATGGTATGTGTTGAAAAAAGAGACCCTAGCTGGGGAGATAGCTCAGCAGCAGATTAAGTGCCTGCCTGGCAAGCACAAGGTCCTGAGTTCAGTCCCCAGTACTGAAAAAAAAAAAAAAAAAAAAAAGCTACATTCCCCTTGTGCACCTAAATTGAGTACCTAGGGTCTCTGTGGCTCAGGAAGCTGCAGCTTTGAGTAGATTCAAGCTCGGGAGGCATTTCTATGAACACTGCCAGCCAGGAACATTAGCAACGCGATTACCACAGACCACAATGTGGAGTGAAAATATTTAATGTAATATGAAAAAATATACAGCCAAGAGAATTGAAACAATGAAAATAGCATTTTTGCTAGCAGTCCAAGGTCTGCTCTGAGAGCAACAGAGTTTGTGGCCAACCCTTAATGCTACTCTTCAGAGGCTCTGTAAAGGTCAGAGCATAAGAGAAGATAGAGAATGTGGAAAATATTGGTTCAAACTGTCTCATGCATTTCTAGTTTTTGGACCCCTACTTATTTCCTCACATAGATTATTGTGATGATACCTTAAATCTGGTTCAAAACTGTATCCAAACTGAGCAAGAGAGACATCAGAAATGAGCGTCCCCTTCCCTCCTGGAGCAGGCACAGTGCAGATGCTGCATCCCTAAGATGGTGTCCAGATGTCTTCCCAGCCAGCAACCAGGGCTCCTCCAAGTTTGGCAGCTGCTTTCCTTTCCAGATTTATCTCCCACGACTCCTCCGCTCACTCAGTGCTCCAAGGAGACTGCTGTGTCCCCCCTTTCCTCTTCCCCACAAAGACCTATTGTTCACTAGCCCACACACTGTTCATTTATACGGTTGAAGGCTATGCTCTTCAGAGCATTTCTAGACCTCTGCATATCTAGGCGTGTGTAAGTAATCTTTGAACACTATACCTTCACTCCCCTCTGAGAAGCTTTCTTCTTTAGTCACTATTAATTTAGCTGTGCAATCTCTGATTAGTTGAACTCTTTTTAAAAAATTTTATGTGTTTGGTACAGGGTCTTACTATGCAGCACAGACTCCTAGTGATTCTGCTGTGTCAGCCTCCCCAGCTCTGGGATTGCAGGTGTGCACCACCATGCCCAGTCTTGGTGGTTGGTTCAGCATACCTGAGGCAGGGCTGGCACGACATGTGGTACCAGGGATCAAACCCAAGTCCTTACACTTGCCTAGGCAGCCACCTCGACTGCTGAGCTATCCCTGTGGCCTGATTATTTGGACTCTTATCCTAACTTTACCTTTCCTAAAATAATCCTGAATCACTTCTTGGCATTTTTGGCTAAGATCAATTGTAGTACCTAAAAATCCTGGCATAGCCCAATTCCAAAATCTCAAATCTCAAATCTCAGATCTGAAATCCCTTGAGATTTTGCAGCAACACAGTCACAGTAGCTCATTTATCTTGACCATAATCCATTGTGTAACAAACAGGTGACTACCAGGTATGTTTCTGTCACAGCCTCGAATTCCATCTACCCCACTGCCATCCCATCTCTGACACCCAGGACTCTTATCTTCATGCCATGAGAAGTACTAGATCTGGATACTTGAAATCAAAACCTCTGATCAGAGACACATGAGAAATTAACCATCCTTAGGATATTGCTATATCCTAAGGGGGGAAAAAAAAAACCAGATTATCACTCTTGAAAGTAAATCAATGCACATTAAAAGTACAGGCCTTTATCTTTCAAGGTTAAATTCTTGTCAGTAGAGTCATTATTTTGGCTGTCCTGAAGCAGTCTGAGGAGAATTATTTGGGGAGAGAGGGGGAAAGGAAGATGGTTTAGTGACAAATGGATAGAAGAAGGAAAAGGAGGAAGAAGATGGAGAAAAAGAAAGAAAAAGGAGAGAACAAATGAAAAACAGAACAGGAACTAAAATAAAATAAAAATTAATTAAAGATCTCAACATTAAAACAAAAACACTTAATTTGCTAGAAGACAAAATAAGTAAAATCCTTGAAGACCAAGGCATAGACAAAGACCTTCTGAACAGAACCCAGGAGGCACAAGAAATAATACCAGACATCCACAAAGGGAAGCACATCAAATTAAAAAACTTCTTTTACACAGCACAGGAAACAACTAACAGAATAAAAAGACAACTTACAGAGTAGGAAAGAAAAGTTGTAAGCTACTCCTCAAAGGAGTATCTAAATACTCCTTTAAGGAGCATTTAATATCTAAAATATACAAAGAACTCAAAAACTATAAAGAACTCCCAAAATCTAAAGATCTGACAAAAAAGGGGGCATCTGCAATGAGTAAATACTTATCAGATGAGGAAGTATAAATGACTAATAAACATATGAAAACATGTCCAATATCACTGGCTATTAGAAAAGTGCAAATTAAAACAATATTGATTTTCCACTTTACTCCAGAAATAATGGTGATCTTCAAGTAACCAACCAGGAACAAATGATGGAGAGGCTTTAGAGAAAGAAGAACCCATTTCACTGCTGGTGGGAGTGTAAACTGGTACAGCCACTATGGAAATCAGTATGGAGATTCCTCAAAAAACTAAAACTAAAATCCATTTGATCTATTTCCCTTCTAGTATCTTCCTGAAAAGTTTAGAGACATCCTATCACAGAGATGTATGCATACCCATATAAAAGAATCTACCCAAGATAAGAGAAAAAACAATCAGAAAAAGGGGGGGGTATTATTTTAATTCAGCATGGAGAATATATTTTAAAGTGCACCATGATGTAGCATAATTTTCTTATCGGAGGCAGGGTCTGCTAGTCTGGCTGGTAATCTGTGTTTATGATAATTAACTTGATAAAGATTTATAGATAAATGAATCTGAAATATATATATATATATATATATATATATATATATGATAAACTAAAAAAGAAAGCAAAAGAGGAGAAACACAGAGGGGAGATGTGATGGAGGAGTGAGAGAATTAGAATCAGAAAGAGAAATGAGAGGAGCAGGGAGGCAGGCAATGTGGGAATAAAGAGTGAAAGAAACAAGAGGGAGGAGATGGCAGAGGAAGGGGGAAGGCTGCCTGTGGCTGTGTCCCAGAAGCATGGGGTGGCTCTTTCAGCAACCTGCTCTGTCTTCCAGGAAGCGGTAGCATCCAAAGGTGAAACACTCCCTGCTGACTCACTACCAATGCTCATGAAATCTATGTCTGAACTCCCTATTCTCTAGCAAACAGCTGACCAGAATTTGGGGAGTTTAACCTTAAAGGCTATAATTTTACTTCCTCTCCATATGTCCTGAAGATAAAAGTTCTTTGAAAACAAGAAACTGTTAAATTTCTAAACAGACTAACACAGTCTCATCTTTCTCCAGAAAAGCATGAGACTGGGTTGGTGACAAAGACTCTTGCCTAGGGGACCAAAGTACTTGAGGTAGCTCCAGGTGTCCTACTCAGAGACTGTGGTGGGAAGGGCACAGGCTGTGGGCACTGAAATGACTCTAGGAATAGTTATTTAAGATATGATGGTGAAGGAAGAAATGACCGCAATCATAGTGTCTGAAAGATAAGGCAAAATCAGCCATAGATAAAGTATGAGAACTCTAATGTAACAAAACCCTACTCTAATCCTGTAAAAACTTCTAATTAGTGGTTAAGCACAGCTCTGAGTTATTCATTCTGAAAAGCATGTTGTGAAGGCTTTTGTTAAGGCTTCTTAGTTCTTCAGTACTAAGTCTGTTATAGGAAGGAAAGGAGGGAAGGAATGAGGGAGAGAGGGAAGAAGAGAGAGGGAGGGAAGAAGGAAGGAAGGAAGGAAGGAAGGAAGGAAGGAAGGAAGGAAGGAAGGAAGGAAGGAAGGAA